GCGTAGTTAACATTTCAACTGTAACCTTTTTTTTTTTTTCACCGCCAATATAGATTAAGTGCTTGAATTCACAACAGCAAACTTTTCTCTCGATCATCACCAAGCGCACTGTAACATTAACGTTAATCTGGGCATGAGAGCAACACCTTCAACAGTGAGCGATCATGAAGTTGCTCAAAGTCAGAAAAAAGGTGTGAATCTGCTTTGACAGATTGTAAACCAACCAGTAAAATATTAATACTAACATTTCACTACAATATGCCTACAACGACAGAGAAACATTAGTGAAGGTATTTTTATTTATCTACATAAATTAATCCGCCAGTTCGCATCTTAAGAATCAACTCACTACTTCCCCATCTGCATTTTCATTCAATCATGTTAGATAGTTTCATTTTCATTAGCAATATTAGCGTCTCCTTTCTTGAACTTGAGCTAGTTTCTTGTAGTTTCTTCTCCCGGCGTAGCGTTGTAGGCTAGTGACACACATTTGAAACTGCGCAGTGAACGTCGGCGGGGCTGGAGGTGACGCATTGAAGCACGTAGAGGACGACATGTAAGTGTAAGCCAATCAGAGGTAGGCATAGGGCGGGACTTGGCGTGGCCATAGTAGGACTCGTAAATTCACGTACAGGAAAGGAGGAAGTTGGCTGAGGTTCCAAAAGGGGGCGGGGCTTCTAAAAGGTGAGTTTACTAAATGAACATCATGCTGTTTGGAAGAAGACTGAAACTATAAACTCATCAGGAAACTGTTTACTCAGATAATTAATTATACTAGAAATCGTCTCATTTCTCCATAAGACTCGATACTATGAGAGTGGAGCTCCCCCTGCTGGCCGTTACACAGACTGCACACTGACAGCTGTCTCCACCCTCACTGTCTGCACTGAATCAGGTCTGTGCACACTGTGAGCGACGTTCGGTCCCGGCGGACTCTGCCTGCCGGGACCGAACGTCGCTCACAGTCGTCACCGCTGCCAAGGTTACGGAGCTCCCTCGGCGCTTTCGCTGCTACGGACGTTATTATTAGATCCTGGTTCTGCTTCTCAGTCGGGATCCACTTTATTATTTCCATCTGCAGAGGAGGAGGCTGCACAGTACAGACACTGCAGTACAGACACTGCAGTACAGACACTGCACAGTACAGACACTACACAGTACAGACACTGCAGTACTGACACTGTAGTACTGACACTGCAGTACAGACACTACACAGTACAGACACTACACAGTACAGACACTGCAGTACAGACACTGCAGTACAGACACTACACAGTACAGACACTACACAGTACTGACACTGCAGTACAGACACTGCAGTACAGACACTGCAGTACAGACACTACACAGTACAGACACTGCAGTACAGACACTACACAGTACAGACACTACACAGTACAGACACTACACAGTACTGACACTGCAGTACAGACACTGCAGTACAGACACTGCACAGTACAGACACTACACAGTACAGACACTGCAGTACAGACACTACACAGTACAGACACTACACAGTACAGACACTGCACAGTACAGACACTGCAGTACAGACACTACACAGTACAGACACTACACAGTACAGACACTGCACAGTACAGACACTGCAGTACAGACACTGCACAGTACAGACACTGCAGTACAGACACTACACAGTACAGACACTGCAGTACAGACACTGCACAGTACAGACACTACACAGTACAGACACTGCAGTACAGACACTACAGTACAGACACTGCAGTACAGACACTGCACAGTACAGACACTACACAGTACAGACACTACAGTACAGACACTACACAGTACAGACACTGCAGTACAGACACTACACAGTACAGACACTACACAGTACAGACACTGCAGTACAGACACTACACAGTACAGACACTGCACAGTACAGACACTACACAGTACAGACACTGCAGTACAGACACTACACAGTACAGACACTACACAGTACAGACACTGCAGTACAGACACTACACAGTACAGACACTGCACAGTACAGACACTACACAGTACAGACACTACAGTACAGACACTACAGTACAGACACTGCACAGTACAGACACTACAGTGTTGAATTGTGTGTCTGTGGTTTATTTGGCCACATTTTGATATTTTGCCATGAAACAGGAAGTTGTCATAACTTCAGTTTACTTTGTCCAATTTGCACCAAACTTTTAAAGATATTTTTGGGGCTTTTTATGCCTTTATTTTGATAGGACAGATAAGGATAGACATTTGAATGACATTTGAATTCACATTTAAAGGAATAATCTGTGTGACTGTTTACTGACTTTGAACAGATGACGATCAGCTTCCTATTATAATAATATTATAATAATATAGTTTGCAGCTTCCAATGAGGAAACATTACACACTGAAGGTCGAGGGAGTCACACGCTTTATGTTGTCCTTAAGAAAACAGAAATATAAACACAAACAGATTGGGGATTTTTCAGTACCAATGACACTTAAACAGACATTATATGTTGTTGAAAATCTAATAAACGGAAGTCGACTTCTTATTAAAAGTTAAAGGTACAAAAAGTGTGTTGACATAAAAACTTTATAGGATAGAAGTGATGAACATTTATTAGTTTAATTTAATAATTTACTGCATAAAAAAAGGATGAACACGAGCCATAACTCAGACTTCCTCAGTGGTTGTAAATGATTAATTAACTAAACACCGTCAGTAAGTTTACTTCTGATGTTCACATTTTACTCCTCAAACAATTAAAGTAAAATGTTTATGATTTTATTTACTTCCTCAAAGACTGACGGACATAAACAATGTTAAACTGAGGGACAGTCAGTGAGTGTGTGTGTGTCCAACTCTTCCTCACAGGTTAGTGAATGACAGACAGTCAGTGAGTGTGTCTGTGTCCAACTCTTCCTCACAGGTTAGTTAATGACAGACAGTCAGTGAGTGTGTCTGTGTCCAACTCTTCCTCACAGGTTAGTTAATGACAGACAGTCAGTGAGTGTGTCTGTGTCCAACTCTTCCTCACAGGTTAGTTAATGACAGACAGTCAGTGAGTGTGTCTGTGTCCAACTCTTCCTCACAGGTTAGTGAATGACAGACAGTCAGTGAGTGTGTGTGTGTCCAACTCTTCCTCACAGGTTAGTTAATGACAGACAGTCAGTGAGTGTGTGTGTGTCCAGCTCTTCCTCACAGGTTAGTTAATGACAGACAGTCAGTGAGTGTGTCTGTGTCCAACTCTTCCTCACAGGTTAGTTAATGACAGACAGTCAGTGAGTGTGTCTGTGTCCAACTCTTCCTCACAGGTTAGTTAATGATGTTACTGAGTCAATGTGAGCAGATTGTGTCTGTAGACTGAAGAGAATCAGAGTCTCACTGATGGTAGAAATAAAGGTTTTACTTCCTTAAAACAGCTGTTTTTTGAATGGAGTTTGGTGTGACAGTGTGGAGCAGAGGGGATTTGAACCTTAATAATTCCCATAAACTGAGCTGACCTACCTTCTAATAATGAACCTTGTCAAATTAAAGGTACAAGAAGTCTGCTGACATTAAAACTTTATGGAGGTAGAGGTGAACTCAGACTAAACACGGCGTTAATAAAGCTGAAGACGATCTCAACTGGAGCCATCAGGACTCCAGTTACACCACTAACCAAAATAACTTTATTATAAAACATTTAGAACCACAGACAGGATGAATTATTAGAAATCAGCATTTATTTATTTAGGGATGTTTCACAGGAATATTGTGGAACTGATATATTATATTTCTGTATATTTAAACTGATAAATATATTTAAACTGATAAATATACAGGGCTTTAAGTTCTCTGAGAGAAACTGTCTGTATTACAGGTTTTACCCACCAGAGGGTGCTGAGGATCTATTTTCTCTGCAGGCAGAAGGCAACAATCACAAATATCTGAAGATAAAGATATTAAACATTAAACATTAGTAAAGCATTAAATAAACTAATAATAATAATAACTTTATTTATAGCACTTCTTTAAACACAAACAGCAATAAAGAGATTAGATACACCAACAGTCAGAGAAACACAATATATAGCAGTGTGCCAAAATACAATAAAATAAAAGATAAAATTAAATTAAAGATAAAAATAAATCACTGGAAATATTCTGTAAACTCACATTAAACTGATTTAAAAGATGAAAAAGATTTTAGCTTTATTTCCTTAAGTAGGTCGTTCCAAAGTACAGACAATCCTATAACAACAACAATAATAATAATAACAACAACAACAATATTAATAATAATAGTTGTCTTTATGTCTTTTTTCATTGAACTTCTGCCTGTCAGAGTCTAAAATGTGGTTGTAACAGATCATTAAATAATAATAACAGACTTTATAGTTCAAACAGGTGGAGCTGAATGAAGCCACGCCCCTTAATTATTAATAACTTTAATCATTAATATAATGTAAAGGTTTTATAAACGTTCAGTCGTCCTGAGTGAGGACATTATCTCTAGAGACCAACAGGCTGTAAACATTGTAATATGGGTCCTTATGGAGACTCCCTGCTGGAGCCAGCCTCTAGTGGCCGTCACAGGAACTGCAGCTTTTCTTATTTCTTAAAACTTAAAACCATCGTAATCCTCCGTGGAGTTCTGCAACCAGAGGCAACCTGTGACTTTAATTCATTTATCAGCTAACTGAAAGACGGTTATTCACTAAGGAGATCAATAATATTGATGACTGATCAGGAAACGTAAATATAAATTATTGTTTTGTTTATTTCTGTTGGACAGTTTAATACAGTGGCTAATGGAGCCAGCCTCTAGTGGCCGTTACAGGAACGGCTGATTATCGATTATTGATTACAGATAGAACCCAATATCACAAACCTCAAACAGATAATGGATGTCTCTCTCTCTCTCTCTCTCTCTCTCTCCCTCTCTCTCCCGGGCTCCACCGGTCGGTCCCCGCTGACAGAGACCCGGTCGTCGTGCACGGCGCTCTCTCGGAGACGCGCCCCGGGTTCCGTCCTACCGGAGGCTGAGCGGCGGCGGCGGCGGCAGTGAGAGCTGCACCAGAGCGGCTGAGAGCAGACAGACAGACACACAGAGAGAGACACACAGAGAGAGAGACAGACAGGAGTCTCCGGCTTCACGCACACCGGGATTTATTCACGCAGAGATTCCGGAGCATCAGTCGGATCCCGCACCGTGTGAACCGGTAAGAGGACCTCCGCTCTGTGCCGTGATTCCCGGGTTGGGTTGTATTGTGGCTGCGCTCGGTTCACCGGGAGGCTGCTGCCCGTTAACCACCGGCACCGAGCCCGCAGTGTGTCACTACCCCGGGAATGAATGAATGGATGGAGGGAGGGATGGAGGGATGGAGGGAGGGATGGATGAGGGTTTTATCGCGCGGAGGCTGCGCGTGCGTCCACCTTTTGTTCAACAGTTTAAAGTGTCCTCGTGCATCAAACTGAAGTGATCACGAGACATTTCCATAAAACCAGAGTGAGGACCTTTAAAGTGTGTGCAGCCTCGTGAGAGCTGATTGATTACAGCTGATCAATCAGAGTGTGTGTGTGTGTGTGTGTGTGTGTGTGTGTGTGAGAGAGAGAGAGAGAGAGAGAGAGAGAGAGAGAGAGAGAGAGAGAGAGAGTGAGAGTGTGTCTCTGTGTGTGTGTGTGTGTGTGTGTGTGTGAGTGAGTGAGTGAGTGAGTGAGTGTGTGTGTGTGTGTGTGAGATTGATGAAGATGATGAAGATGATGTTTGGAGGAGCCACCTTGACATCAGCTCCACAGAGAGGTTGTTGTACAGCTCTTAATCACAGTCAGATATTAATTACCAATCAATCAATTATCTGATTCAAACTCAATAATTCTTATACTGTTTATTTAAGTAAATAAATCTGTTTGGTTCAATTAAACAAAACTTTATTTATCTTTATAATCTTTAAATATAAAAACATTTATTCTGGAGGAAATATTTAATTTTACATTAATAAAAATACGAAAACAAACTGAGTTCAACTTAATAAATGAAAAAAAACATATAATATAAACAATATACAATCTCAGCCTTTTATTTATCTTTATTTATTATAAACGGAGGATTTAGATTTGAACAGGAGAAAAAGATCTTTATTTTATATTTTCATCCGTTTTTGCAGTTTCCCGCCGTAACACCCGAGGTCCTTCCTTGTACCTGGAATCATCTCCATCCCATAATATTCCAATGGGAACGTTGTAATAATAATAATAATTTAGGAAACTGGAGATTCTTCTAATATAAAGAGAGAAATCACTGATACTACTTATTGATCTGATTGATCATGTGACCTATGAAATATCCAATTTTAACTCACGTTATGAATTATTTGACGTTTTTTATGTCTAAAGTCTCAAAATAATATTAAAAAAAACCGATGTCCGACCCTAATGAGGCGTCCACATTATCTGAGTAGCTGAAGCTGCTTCCTCCGTCTCCTTTGTGCAATGCATTGTGGGAGGAAACACTAATGATCTGACTGACTGAAAACCTGCTTGGATTCAGTCTCTAAGTGTTTGTTTACGTCTCAGATATTGTTTGTGTGTCTCAGATAAACCTCAGAGACAAACCGGAGCCGCCACAAACAGACAAACAGAAATAATATCACAGATAAATATCAGACGCAGTGTGACGATGAGGACGATGAGGACGATGAGGAAGAGGAGGATGAGGATGATGCAGACGTTCAGGGCTGCTGCTGTGTGCTGATCACAAACACAATAACATGGTAACAGGTCACCTGGGCGACGGACGGCAGAGACAAACACTTCCTGCAGAGGACGAAGCCTCCAGAGCTTTAATTTAAATAACAACAATATAAGATAAGTGATAATAATACGTCTCAGTCTGCTGTAAGAACAATAAATACACTTTATTGTGATCGTCACTGCACACAGATTCAGATTTTGTCCTTTTAAGAATAAACATAATTATATAAAAAGTAAAATCACACATTTGAGCCTCCGGAGAAACATTTAGAGTCCACAGGAGACAGAAATCCATCGTAAAGCAGCTGTAGTGGATCCGTTAGCGGACTCTGTCGGACTGAATGCTGACTGAGGACGGTTTTACTACGGGGATAAAGTACTGAGGTCGTATTTTACTCCATTTGCACAAGCTAACTAGCTAACAGCCGCTATAATTAACATTAGCAACAGTTAGCTTCTTTTAGCAACAAGTTCATCTGGAAACTACGTAAATCACCTCGCTGTCGTCAGACTGTCCTCTGTCTGTCCTCTGTCTGTCTCTGAGGTTCACTGGGAGGCTGCTGAGCCCCGTTCGGTTGCTAACGCTAACAGCAGCTACATTAGCAGTTAATAATCTGATCCAGTTTCATACAAACAGATAAAGTTGTGTCTGTACAGTAATCAGTGAGCTAACTAATGAATCTTCACTCTGTGTCACTGACAGTTGAAGATTGATTGACGGGTGAGTATCAGGATGTTATTGGTTGAAATCAGTTCATGCTGACGTAAACACGCGTCACATTTAGTTTCACAGGAAGACACAATGATTGATTACTGATATAAAAACACAGAGAAATGTCACCAGCTGTGTTTGTTTCTACGTTTGCTCCCTCGTTTTAAAAACAACCAGACGTTGGTGTAATCGATCAATAACATCACAGCTCGTGTGTGTGATGTCACAGATCATAAACAGACGTCGTCAATAAACAGCTCTGTAGTCTGCAGGCTGTTACATCATGAACTCGATATCAGCTGTGGACTCACTGCAGCACAATCTGACACCACTCCGCCGGCTGCCCGCCGCCCGCCGGCTGCTGAGGTCGCACGAGGTCGGTCTGGTTCGCCGGTCCTCGCCGAGCGCGGCCGAGGGGGGGATTACAGCGGCAACGCGACCCGTCACGTTCCCCGCGGGCCTGTGGGTTGTTAGGGAGAACGAGGCTGATGAGTTCTCACAGGAGAAGGAGACAAAACAACCTCCTCCTGTTGTCATTATGTTTCTCATTACAGCGTGAGGAAAAAAGCGGCTTCCATAATGCGATTATCCGTCGTTCTCGTGGCTTCTGCAGATTCTGCCGCCTCACACGCGGTAATTGACCCCACGCCGCAGCGCTCAATGGGGACTGCTGTTGCTAATTGCGGTGGTATTTTGAGATACAGTGGGAGCATTAGGCGACGGGAGGAGTTTATTCACGAGAGACGACTCCACAGTGTGTGTGAGTGTGTGGGCACTGGTTTACATGACAGTGTGGGGACTCTTATCTGACACTCCTTCCACCATCCATCACCTTCTGGGGACCAAAAGCCCACAGAGCAAAATAGAGTTACTATTACAGTTTAAATGTGGTCTCAGACAACTGTAGGGGGAAAATACCTTTGAGATGAATATATAACATAAAAACAACAAATTACTTTAAATTAACACAAAAGTCAGAAACCTTTTTGGCCCAAAAAAGAACAAAGAAAAATCTTTCTGGAGTCATAAAACATATTTATTTTCTCCCAGCAGATTATAAGGCAGCAGCAGCAAAAATTAATCTGTCCGTGCACTATTAAATTCTTTAAATTCCTCCTTGTTTTGGATGTTGGATCAATTTTAGTTGGCAAAATGCCTTTTTATTTGGTGTGTAATGTGCATTATTTAAAGCTGTGACTGTGGCAGAAATCTCGTCTCAAAACTTGGAAAAACTAATTTACTAAACTTAATTTAGTGTTTAAGGTGAGTCGTCCCTTCAAGGTGAGGTGTTTAAGGTCAGGATGGAGGGGGGGGTTAGTCCTCTCAAGGGTGGTAAATTGAGCGTGTGTGTGTGAGAGTCACCAGCTGTGTATTGATCCGGAGACGCAGTATTCAGACTGACTGTTGGCTCTCAACCCAGTTTCTCTCTCGCTCCCTCCACACAGCTGTTTTTCCTTCTCTGTCTTATAAATTACAACCAGCTCAGTGTGAAACTGTTCGGAAAAACACTCACACACACACACACACACACACACACACACACACACACACTCACACGTGTTTGTGCCAGAGGAGGAAGTACTCCAGTCATTTACTGCAGTAACAGTATTAATACCACACGGAAAGGTTTTTTGTGTGAGATTCTGAAGCATTTTATTTGTATGTATTGATCAGTGTATTGATCAGTGTATTGATCAGTGTATTGATCGGTGAACGGGTTGTAGCTTTGTTCCTCTGCTGCCTGTTGACCGATTTCTAGTGTTGCTTTCGTCAACGAAAATGATGACTAAATATTGTCGTCAACGAACCTTTATCACGTGACGGAGACGAGACGAGACGCAACGTAAATGGTGGTCATGTGACGAAAACTATAATCAAATATATAATGCAATATTGTTGACGAATAAAAACGGGACTAACTTTTGTTTGCAAAATAAAAACTCTGCTAAAATATCTCTTCATTTTCGTTGACCAAAACGAGATGAGACGAAATGTTCTAACGTTATTTCGCCTCCCTATTATTATTATTTTGCAACATTTCTGTTTCCTGAGTCTCGGGGCTGCATCAGCGCACTGCGCAGACGCAGGCGACGTCACTTCCTCAATCCCCACGCGCGGCATTATTTAGAAGATGCAGCTGCGGTGGGTTAACGTTGGTCACAAACACACACATTTTATTTGCACTTTTTTATTATGTCATTGTAGCTCGAGCAATCAAGCACCTTGTTTCTCTTTAAGTTAAACTTGAATGTAATGTCAGTTTTTTCTGGCATTGTCATTTGAAGCTATTTTATTTATTTATTTTATTTAAATGTATGTGTGTGCACTTCTTACATGTTTAGTAGGTAAAATAAATATGTTATAAATTCAAATCAGAGCGTCGTCCGTGTCTGGAATTGAATGTATTCTTGAGTCTATTAGGTATCAATAATATAATAATAAGATAACCTTGTTTGACTTGGGAAATGAGTGACTTAAAGAAGATGTTGGTTTTGTCTATACTACACTATGTATTATATTAACTGGGTTAAATCGCACTGCGTTACTAAAAAGAGACTAAAATACAATTTTCATCAAGTAAAACTAGACGAAAATAGTCGTGGATAATTCTGACTAAAATAAGACTAAAACTAAAGAACAACTCTACCGATCTCTATGTGTCTCTATGTAGGATGAGGGTCAAAGGTTGTGACCTTTATGCTCCCGAGTGCCAACAGTGGGCGACACAGAGTCCAACACAGAGTCCACAACACAGAG